GAGCTGTAAAGGAAAATTTCCCAGCACCTACCCATTAAACTGTAGTTTAGCTCCATCTCGTGGAAGAGGACCACTCTTTCAGCTTGCAATCCACTGAGATTTAATTAAATACAACCTGCTTTATAGGGCTAAATTTCCAAAGGGTCTCCTTATGCCTCTCCAGCCACCTTACCTTGACGTGCACAACAAATTCTTTAGAAAGTCCAGCATATCCTGTTGTTTCGTCAGCTACTTTGCCTTGAAGACTGAATGTAACGGTGTGACCTGGATTCCTGGCTGACTCCAGAATGGCACAGCGATTGGGTTGCATGTGTACACACAGCTCACAGTGAGTCTCGCCTTTGCTCTAACAGAGTCAAAGTCAGAAAAATCAATGATATGAACTACAAGACATAGTCAAATCCAAAACAGAGAGTATGGCGACACAGTTTCAGTATCACTCAAGTTTCTACATTACACTGATGCTAGCAGTTTAATGAGAAAATGGCTTTCTGTTCTCTCAGACCTGCTTGCTTTTTCATACTTTCATATTTAAACAAAACTAGAACTTTAATAAACATTAAATGCAAATAATCAACCAAATAATTTAAGCGACTTGTGGTTCACATAATTTCACATTTTTTCAGCATTTTTCAAAATTCAAAAAATTAATATTTCTAGAGAAAATTTTCCTTTACAAGACACTACATTTTGAAGAGAGATTTTCACGCTCAAAAAAAAATCTATCAGACCCTATATAGACTTTGAAAAATAAAGGAAAAAAATGGATGTATTTCATAGGCGATTCTGAAACAAATAAGATAGCATGTCCTTCAAAATATGATCAGATGTGCATTTCAAGGTCAACTGTCATCTTTTTATTGTCATTTTGGTTTATATTTACATGTCCTTATTCCAAGGACCTCAAAGACTTTTAAGTAAAAGCATTTTTTTTTCTCATATTCCCTGGGAAACAGAGCAAAAAAAAAAAGAAAAAAAAGATCCAGGTTGTTCAAGCTCATAACATGTGTCAGTAGCAGAGATGAAAAGACAAACCCCAAAATTCAAGCACGCAGTTAATACCCTGTTGTGGTGATACATCCTGCATGCAATGGCATTGGCTGCAAGAGGATCTCTTTATCAGAATTTTACTAATGAACATGAACACTAGCAAGTCCTGCAAGCGGATCTGACAGTTTGCCTGGCCGCTTGTAGCTATTCCCATTGAGAGACCTAATTCCGCTGAGGGCTTTCTATTCCCTCTAATGCCAGTGCACATCATGTAAGAGGAATGGGGCCTGCTTTGACTATTAGATCATTCACTGATTAAATAATAGAAAGGGAAAAAAAGGGAGTTCCATCAGCAGGAACTAACTCCACAGCTCCATTGCCCCCTTCCATATTGCCAGTGCTGAAGAAAAGCAGTAGTAAGCCTTTGAAGATCGGATGAAACAGTAAGGATCAAAATAAAGCTGGAATATTTTAGTTGGTTTATGATAGGCAGATCACTTAGGAACAAAACACAAAGGAAATAAACGGGCATTTAAAATCAGCCCTTAAAACTCATGTTCATCCAAAATGAGGAGATATTTGGACATTCCAAGTATCTTGTCATCATGTGGCAAGTCAATATAAATTACAGCTTGAAACAGTCTGGTATTGATACACAAAACCAATTTGTCCATTAGAAAAAATAAGTAAGGATTAAAAATTGGACTATGAGATATAGTCTATAAACAAAACTTAGGTTTGAATTTGCCTAGGAATGGCAAATAGCAATGGTACTGGGTCCATTCTGCAGGTCTTAGCTTCTTATCTGATCGGAAGCATGATTATTTATTAAACAGATTAAGACCAGTATTATATTTAGTCAGATAATGAGATATTATCGTGAAACAGGAATGAAAGCATTTCCTACCTTTCCAGTTACGTAGCCACTGACAACAGCAAGAGCAAGATGTGGCATCTGATGACTGCTGAATACATATATATTTCTCCTTTTGACAATTACATCAAAAATGCCTAAGAGTTTAATGAAAAAATAGTAGAAGCATGAAAGATTATTAATTTGTATTTGCATCTAATTACAATATCTGATTTATCATTTTCAAGGGGAAAGAATGATTTAAGTATTTACTAACATAAAAAATTTTGAAATGTATTTTTTAAAAAATTTAAAATTCCGTAAAAAGGAAGCCAAGGATGTCAATGCAATGAACTGCGTTATAGTAACTGAATTCCTGCAATGTAAGTAGCATAAAACTCTCAGGCAGGAAAACAATTTTTCTATATTAATATTAGGATTTATAAAGCAAATTTTGCAGTGAGACTCATGCTTCTAAAATGTTTAATTGTCCAACATGCTTAACAGTTGCCTCTTCTAGCTCCATAATAGTGATGAAATGACACTTTTATTGTCCCCACCAGCAGCAGTTGATTGTTATAACAACTATTGCACTATGACTTCAAATCACCCCATTTGGAGGCTGCAGCTGCCTCCAGATGAGTCCTGGGGGATATAAAACTTTGGCAGTGTCACTGGGAAAAGAGAATTATATTCAGGCAATGCTCATTGTGCTCATTGGGATGGCACCACAACCTATAGGAGACCTTGGACCTAAAATAGTGATGCGATTTCCACCGCTCAGAGCAACACAGGAAGTGATGCATAATTGTCCATTTGGGTCTTCTGTTTTATATGGAAATAGAATTATCTGGGAAATTAAAAACCCTGGACCAATCATCACCTGGTATAATTTGCCAGGACCACTTTTAAGACCTTTTAAATATATTACTTAAATCTGCTAAAAATCTAGGCTCATATTTATTATTAAGCAGTTCTACCAATATCTGAGATGTGCAGTTTCCTGTTAGGAAATATAAGCGGATAGTATATGTTGGAAGACTTTATTCCAAAACACATGCATAGCAGCAGAGTCCCAAAATGAAAATTTAAATCATAATTTTTCCAAGTCAATGCATTGACATTGACTTCTGCTGTACTTGTTTACATGCTCGAGCTGCCATACAAACTACTGCATATATGAGTAACCCAAACAAATCTGACAGAAATAGAGGAAGATGTTGCTCTGAAGGCAGAAAAATTATATGATAGGTGCCTATATTAATTTTGTATTGTGTTCATTTTGTGCACAGAAATATAAAAATAGGATGACATACTTCTTCGTGGGTGACTACGTTTATTCCTCTGATATCAGGGCAACTTTATAATATTGTAAAAAATCAAGCTTTTTCTGATCACTGGTTTAATTCCTCATTGTTACTAAGTCTTTGGGAGGCTGCACATCGTATTATTCATGGAAATATTTTTCTGACTTCCAATATAATTAATTAACAGCCAGTCTACACCAATTTCTTTTTGATCTAGCTTTGTTTCTAAGATAATTAATTATATTTATTGTATTTAATTACTGATATTTGTGGTGGTTGTGCATTGGGTTTGCACAGTTACACACAGATTGATCATATAGCTCATATAAACTTGTACAGGTAATATTCATGGGGAATTTAAACACATAAAATAGCATGTAAAAATGCTCTAAAAATATAAAAATACACTAAAAATGTGCAGAATGCAATAAAAAGGCAACATGCTTGTATCTGAAAATACCACTAGAAATGCATTAATTTTTAGAAAGAAAAGTACATTGGAAAAAAATCTGCAATGTGAATTTGAATTCTACATGTCAGGAGATTATGAATATTGTGATGCCTTATGAAATCAAATCAGACAATCCATCAATCAAAGACACAACATTAACAAACAGCAAAGGTATGCTTCCTGCATCAGCATAGCTTAGAGATCAAGTTCCTACGATAGTCTGTTCTTTCACTAACTAAGTCACAGTTTGTGATCTTGAGTGGAGCTCCTCAAAGGAAGGACATTGCTGGGCAACTGTTTTTTAAGCACTCTGAAATGTTCATGCAATAGTTCAAATCTCTTGAGTTATTCAGTGTTCAAATCACCAGACAACTTGAATTCAAAAGCCAATACTGATAAATCATAAAAATAGCTTTATCAAAGTAGAATAAATTTCACTTTCAATGCTTGGTAATACCACCAATACCTCGTATTATCCATTCAAGCTTTTGAGCAACAGTTTTTCTGAAATGCTTTTATTAGCTATGCTGAGTATTATTTCGCTGCTCTTCCTGTACTGTTTCATGCGTGCTTTAAGAGTCTATTCTGTCATTACTTCCAAAAAGATGTATGCAAGGTCCCAGAAAAGATGTGAGAAAGGCTGAACAGATCTATCACTACCAAGATAAGAAAAATACTGGTGCCTGATCTCATACTAGCTAGAATAAGTGTTAGTATCATGGTAAGATGGAAGATGATAAACAGGAGAAATTGGAAAGAAAACCATTAAAACAAAAGGCGAGGATGAAACAAAACTGGATTACACCTGAAAACTTGAAATTGTTACTTTTTAGTTTTGGTGGATCTGTTCTAGTTACAGAAGATATTAACTGTTCTTGATATGGCAGTTCCAACACAGATCATCCAAACCCCAAGTGACAAGAAGTTTCTGTTTTCTTAGAGAAAGGCAGTGAAAAGATATCATGGGAGTTTTTTTTATTTTTGTTTCTTTCTTGCAGGTAATGTAAACATCTCTTTAAGGAAGAAGGTAGAACTAAGATTCACAGCAGGAAACAGTA